GTAAGATAAGCACTGGTATGCCAGCCTCAAGATAGGCAGTTCAAACCCACCAGCTACTGCCGGAGAGAGACTAGGCTTTCTGCTTCTGCCGTGGTTTCATATCATAAGAAAACAATGGACTGCAAACCACAAGGTGGGCAGTTCATCCCACCAGCTGCCCTGCAAGAAAGGTGAAGCTTTCTGCTCTTGCATAGACTTAAAGCCTCAGAAATCCTATACCTGGACTCCAGGAACCAGAATAGATTAGCTAGCAGTGGCTTTGGGTTTTGGTTTTGGTCCATTGCTTTTTAAGACGTTGAACCCTGTTCAGAGCGTTTATGTAAGTTTCAAGTTTATTCTGAACCCGTGGGAAAGCTGCCTTCCCTGCTATTCTTTGCCCTCCGCTCAGTCCAAGTAAAGATCCTGTAACCAGAACTCCTAAGAATTGTTGACCATGACAGTTGTTGTTGTTAAGTGCTGTCGAGTTGATTCCAACCCATAGCGACTTTGTATAGGGTTTCCAAGGAGTAGCTGGTGAGCTTGAACCACCGACCTTGCAGTTCAAACGACTTTGCAGTCTGACGCATTAACCCACATTGCCACACCAGGACAGTGGCAATGGGATAAAATAGGCTTTAGAGCTAGTCTTAAATTTGCATCTCACTTCCACCAATTCCTACTATTAAGTCTAATCACTTACAGCCTCAGAGGTCTTCTCCAGTAAAACGAGAACAATGATGTCCTCATTTTTACAGCATTGTTGAAAGAACTAGGAAAGAAATTATGTAAAAGATTATTAATACTTCCTTTGGCAGCGTTAACCCTCAGCCTGTTCAGTTCCCTTCTCTGGAAGGCTATGAATGAAAGTTATTTGTCAAAAAGTGAATATTGTACTGTTTATTGTCGTTTGTTGTTGTTATGTGCCATCGAGTCGGTTCCGACCCATAGCGACCCTGTATAGGGTTTCCGAGGGTGTAAATCTTTATTGTCGTTAGTGAAAACATAAAGAGGGTGTGATCAAGGTCCAGTGACTGGTTAACAATAGGGAGAATCTGCACACGCCTCCCTCAGATCCAGAAGCTGGTGCTTGGACTCAACCAAAAGTGCGTGGCAGCAGGGCCAGGGGCGTGGCCAGTTCTCCACGCGCTGTAGCTTCCGCGTCCCGCCAGACTGCTCACCCCCTGAGCACGCGCAGTCGTTCGCCAGCCATGCGGGTGGATGTTGTCGAGTCTCCGTAGGCGGGGCTGCTGACGGCACAGAGGCGTCGCCCGGAGAAGGGCTGTCGCTTTGGCCTTTCTGTGATCGACGGGTAGTGACGGTGGCTGTGAGTGCAGGGAACCGTTGCTTTTCAGAGTCGCTCTCCTCCAGGAACTGTCCAGTGGTCGGCATGGCCCGTGAGTGTGCACTGGAGTCGGAGTAGGGGCGGGGAGCTTCCGGTCCCGCCGCGCTGGGAGTCTAGCACTGCCCCGAGGCAGCCGGGCGGCGCAGCTGGCGAATCCCCTTCTGACGGACGGGATGAGAAGGGCGCTTTTCTTTCTTGGGTGTCATCACCTGCCCGACCCAGTTGTAGAATCTGATCCGAAAGGCCGGACTGCTGCTTGCCCATCAGGTGTCGGTTTGCCCTGTAAGACGTGTCTACCGAACACACCCCCCAGGAGGGGTGTGGAGGGGGCAGCGCTAGGAGGGATCCTTGTCTGGAGATGGTTTATAGCTAGTACCCAAAGTCTTAAGGCCTAAGGACTAGGAGCTAGGACTGCGCTGCCTCCGTAGTTCTTTTGTTTGGCCCTCGCAGGTAATGTTTTTAAATCGTCTGCATTTGCTAACTAAAAGGTTGAATTGTGATGGGCTGAACTTGTCTGTGTGTGATTGCTTTGTGTCTGGCCCTCAAAAGTCAGAACTTATTTTGGAATACTGATTCACTTAGACGACTGGAATGCCTGTTTTGAAAGGTCTGGTATTTATAGCCCATGAATACCTTGATTGGTATGTTGTTGTTAAGTGCCTTCGAGTCGGGACCCTGTATAGGGTTTCCGAGGAGCGGCTGGTGAGCCTGAACCACCGACCTTGCAGTTCAAACCGAAGTTATAGCCCAGCTGGTATGATAATACTCTAAAGTCTTTAAGTGTACCTTTAAACATACTCCTTGTCAGTTCTGGGAACAGCGTCTAGTGGCAGTATTTGGCTAGTTTATCTATTAAAACGCAAACTTGAGATGCACTTGAGGAAGAGGCCTTTAATGGAATTATTAATACTTTTTGAGGTAGAAAAAGAACATGACTGATTCTCTTTGAAGGTGGAAATCAAAGAGAACTTGCCCGCCAGAAAAACATGAAGAAAACCCAGGAGATTAGCAAGGGAAAAAGAAAAGAGGATAGCTTGACTACCTCTCAGAGAAAACAGAGGTAAGTGGTACTTAATGGAATTCTCAGTTCACTGAAATGTTGATTGATGCCACATTTTGGAGAATGAAAAACATTTTGCAAACCCTTTGTAGAACTAATCTACAGAAGGGGGCCATAGTTATTGATATATGTTGTGTGCTGACACTAACACCAAATTAGGATAGTCATTATCCAACCCATGAATAAAGAATTTAAAATTCTGTAGCTGTTTTGTAGAGAATCTTATGCAACACAATCATAAGAACTTGATTTGGCAAGAAATTTAAATTGAATATCTTTCATATGCAATGCACCGTTAGGTGCTAAAAATGAAACATTTTTGAAGTGGACGACCTACTTGAATAGTCTAGATGACAAATAAGTGACTCAATTACAGTTTGACTGTTCTGAAGGATATCAAAAAAGTATATGTAGCTATATTGACTTCCAAAGCTCCATCAGGTTGGAGAGAATGCATGTACACAGCTTTGTATAAAATTATATGTGACAAAAATATCAAACTGCTTCAGAAATATTTTAATGAGATTGCTTATTAAGTAAAAAAATAAATGCATTCATGTTTATAAAAAGGTTAACCAAAGGTTAATTTTATCTTAAACTAAAATTTTATTGTTTATGTGTAAATTGAAGGTTAGGTGACTGAGACTACTTATGCTATGGGAATTGACTCAACAGCACTTAATAACAACAACATGTTTCATTTTGGCTTATCAGTGGTACTTAATCCTGCAGCACATTAGAATTATCTGGGAAACTTTGAAAGCTACCTAAGTCTGGGTCCTACACCCAACTCTGATTTCATTTGTTTTGGGCTAGGTATTAAAAAAGGAGCTCTGGTAGCATAATGGTTACAAGTCAAGCTGCTCATTTCATAGTCAGCAGTTTGAAACTACCACCGATTCCACAGGAGAAAGATGAGGCTTTCTGCCTGGTAAAGATTTACAGCCTCAGAAACCCTATACAGGGTTGCTATGAGTAGGAGCTGGCTCCAAGTCTCATAACCATCACTAGGTATTAAAAAGCACCTGGTAAATTTTTGGTTTTGTAAGAAACTGAATTATGTCATGGCATCGCTATCCTAAACCTGGTAGCCACCAGTTAAAGATCTAGGTGACTTCTTAAATACATCTTTTTTCAGGAAAAAAATTTAGAATGACTTAACTTTATGAACAACCAAGAATAATTGCCATTATTTCTGAACATTTACTACTGATGTCAGATAGGTTTTATAAATACTTGTAGCTGTTCCTCAGAACAACCCTGAGATGTGTCACTCCCATTTTGAATGGCCTTTGAGGTTATTTACCCAAGGTCATGATATTCAAAATCAGATCTGACTTCAAAGCTTATATTCTTTGCTTTTCCATTGTGTCTACATCCATGGAAAGGGAAAAACATAAATGAATATTTACATATGCTTTTAACTTGCTTACTAATAAGCTGAATGGGTTATGCAGAAAACATAAAATGAATTATTCTATGACAACGTAATAAAGCCTTTTCTCCCATTATAGGGACTCTGAGATTATGCAACAAAAGCAGAAAGCAGCTAATGAGAAGAAGTCTATGCAGACGACAGAAAAATGATGACTGACGAAATTGGAAAACCTGGGTGCTACTGCCAACTAGGTGTATCATAAGCTCTAAGATCAAAATTTTGTAGAATGAACAATCATTACATATATTACAATTTATCCTTATAAAATGGTCTATTTTAAACCTTACCATTTAACCTGACTTAGTGTGATGTTTTAGAACCGTTCTTGGAAAAATAAAACACCAACCATGCATGTAACTTATTGGTGAACATTATTTTTTATAAGCAATAAACATCTGTATGATTTAGTACGTACATAATGTGATTAGATAAGGTCTCTTATGAAAATCTAGAGTCTTTATTATAAGCTTTGTTAAGGTAGATCCTTAAAGTCAATTTTATTAGACAATATTACATAATAGAATTTATAATCCATATGCATAATTTTACTTATAATCAACTGGTTTGCTTGTTGTTCAACTTGCAATAGATATTAAAAACCACCTGGAATAGCAGCTAAATTAAACGACTTCCTGCTTTAACATTTTTTGGAATGAGAGCCATCTTTAAGCCTTCTTGAACTTGATGGTGGTTATAAGTAAGGAAATTATTAACCTAAAGAAATCAAGACTTGAAATCATATATGCATAATTATGTCAAAATATAAATGCCATTGAAGTAGTAAATAAGGTAAGCACTCAGCTGTTAACTGAAAGATTGGCAGTTCAAGCACACTCAGTGGCTCCCAGGAGAAAAACCTGATGATTTGCGTCTATAAAGACTAAAACCCAAACCCATTGCTGTCAAGTGGATTCTGACTTCTAGAAGCCCTACAGGACAGAGTAGATTTGCTCCATAGTGTTTCTGAATCTGTATGGAAGCATAATGCCTGCTCTTTCTCCCTGGAAGTGGCTGGTGGGTTTAAACTGCTGACCTTTCATAGAGCAGCCTGATGTTTCACTCACTACACCACCAAGGTTCCTTCCATCAAGATGTTAGCCTAGAAAAGCCTATGGAGTCATTCTGCTCTGTCACATGGGGTCAGTATGAGTTGAAAATCAACTCAATGGTACCCAGCAACAATGAAGTAAGTATTCTTCAAATACTTGATTTTACATACAATGCAAATCAACAAAGTCTTACCGATCACTTACTATGTCAACCACTATCTGAACTGACATTTCTGGAAGAGATTTAATCATTTTGAGGAAGATTCTGGTAATCTCGTATTAGTCACTTACCAATGGGACCATCCATAACCTGGATGGAATCCTAAGTGTCTCACTAGGATATCAAATACAACAAACATGAGTTTTTTAAGTACAATTTTATTTTTTGGATTAACTTTAGCCTTCTAAATTTTCTATAATGGTAGTCACAGAACAAAAGGATTACCACAACTTCAGTTACATCCTAATAAAAGGGATAATGAAAAAGATAATTGTGCCACAAAGATTTTTACGGGTCTGGTGTCTGTAATTCTATAACCAGAAATTCTACACAGAGTGATAAACCATGAGTACAAAGAACTCTTCATACTTAAGTAATATGAATACGTTAGTTATTGGCTTTAACGTATCCTGTATAGTTACAGAACTTTAAGACTTTTTAAAACTTAAACAGTTCCTTGTTTTGTCCTGCAGGATAAGCACTGGACTGCTAACTGCAAGGTTGGCAGTTGAGACCCACCAGCCACTCCTTGGAAATCCTCTACAGGGTCACTATGAGTCAGAACCAACTTGACCGCACTTAACAACAACAATTCTTACAAATAAATGAAAACTACAGTTTCTAAAAACATGGGTATTAGGATAAGGAAGAACTCTAGACTTAATTTATCATTAAGGCTTAAATCTAAAGCTGAATGCTTATGATTAATTTTTTTGACATTTTCTTTAGTGAATCTATTAATGACTTTGAATTTAACCTCAACTTGATGAGACATCCCCTAAGACAAATAGCAAAAGTTATCTGTGTGATACATAGTTTAGTGATTGTCATAATATATTGATAGTTTAGTTTCTTACCACATATATTTAAGGAAGGTTTAATAAAATAGCTAAACTTTCAAAGAGGGAAACTGGCCAATTACAAGATATTAACAAAAATGCAAAAAATAATTTTAATCAGTTAAATTAATGCATTTACTAACTTAAACAAGGCAAGAGAAAATTATTTAGAAGTAGTACCAACTACAACTACTGGTGTGGTACTATACGATAAGCACTGGACCACAAGGCTGGTTTGAACAAGGTCAGTGGTTCAAAACTCACTAACCTCTCCTCAGAAACCTTATAAAGGGTTGTTATGAGTCAGAACTGATTTGATGGCACTTAACAACACCACTAACAACAATGCAAATTTGGAAAATATCAAACTTATGGGAAGAACTTTCTAAGCATGATTAGATATACTATCTTGTATCACCCTCAATTGGGGGAGGTTGTCAATTGGTATCGAGTTGCTTCCAACTCATAGCAACCCTGTATAGGGTTTCCAAGGAGCAGCTGGTGGGTCTGAACTTCCAGAACTTGCGATACAAACCGACCCTGTGGTGCACTGCATCATCCTGCAGCACCAGAAGATGAGGTTATTATATTATTATTAGCAAGTTCCATAATTTCTGCTGAAAGGACGAAGCAGCAGCTGCTACTGTTACAAGTTGATAAACCAAGGTACATTTCATCAGTCATTTGGTTCCTTTTGAATGCTTTTTCTATTAGTGTATTAGGCATGTATTAGGAATTGTGATTCACATATCAAGCTCTGGGCTGTTTTGAATAAATAGGCTAAATAAAAGGGAACAATGGTTATTGAAATAGTTTCCCTAACTCATAGGTTGTTAAGTGCTGTTGAGTCGATTCCAACCCATAGTGACCCTGTGTAGGATTTCGAATCCTTGGTGAGCTTGAACCACCGACCTTGCCTGCAAACAATTTTACAGTCTGATATATTAGTCCACAGTGCCATACCAGTATTCCAACTCATATATATACATATATATGTATGTATTTTTTATCTATCTATGAATCCTGGTGTGATGCTGCAGGTTAATGCGCTGGGCTGGAAGGTCAGTTTGAACTGCAAAGTCAGTGATTCAGGCTCATCAGCTGTTCCTCGGAAATCCTATAGAGGGTCGTTATGAGTTGGAACTGACTTGATGGCACTTAACAACATGTATGTATATACGTGGGGAGCACTGTGGCTCTGTAGGATAAGTACTGGACTGCTAACCACAAGGTTGGCCACTCATACTTACCAACTAACTACTCCTTGGGAGAAAGATGAGGCTTTCTGCTCCTGTAAAGATTTACAGCCTTAGAAACTCTATACAGGGTTGATATGATTAGGAACCCTGTGATGGCAGTTAACACAACATATAGCTGGAGGGTTTTCCATGTTTTTATACATGTTTTTTTTTAACCCACTTCCAGAAAATTACTTAATCTTTTTTATATAGGATTGTCTTCAAGTTCACCTTGTAAAGAGTTCATGGCTACTATTGCACTTTTATCTTTGAATATACTATCCATTTCAAAACCATTGAATTTTAAGAAATAATGACCCTAAAGTGCAAACTTAGTATTAAAATGGACTTGGTCTGTCAGTTTATGAGATTCGTATATCGTACCATCTATCTGTGCCAGGGTTTTAGCTTTACGGAAATGCAATGGGTTAAGTGCTTGACTGCTAACTGAAAGGTGGTGGCTGGAACTCACCTAGAGGCACCTGGAAAGAAAGGCTTCAGGATCTGCTTCTGAAAGGTCACAGCCTTGAAAACAGCCTTAGGTGCAGGAACACAGGATGCCATGAGTCAGAATGCACTCAACAGCAACTGGTGGTAATTTAACTAAACAGGAAGCATGTTAGTTTCTTAAGGTAAGTTCCTTCTGAGAGGACAACTAAAGAAGACCACCAAAATTAAATTGAAAAATACTTAACCTATTTTTATAAAATTGCCAATCATATTTATCCATTAGATTAAAAACCAAGTAATAATGTTCATTAAACTTATTACAGCTTTATCTGGTGAAGTGTTTGTTGCATAAATGTTATGTGCCATGGAGTCGGTTCCAACTCCTAGTGACCCTGTACAGGGTTTCCTAGGCTGTAAATCTTAACGGGAGCAGAAAGCCTCATCTTTCTACCACGGAACAGCTGGTAGTTTCAAACTGCTGACCATGAGATTAGCAGCCCGATTCGTAACCACTAAGCTACCAGAGCTCCTTCCATCCTATAGTTGTTGTTGTTAAGTGCTGTCAAGTCGGTCCCATAGGGACCCTGCATAGGGTTTCTGAGGAGCAACTGGTGAGCTTGAACCGTCCATCCTATAGTAGTAGACTATAATTATGTAAAATGTAATTATTGTGGGAACCAGAAGGATGCACTGAGATCTCTGTATTATCTTGCAATTTACTGTTAATCTTTTAAAAAAAAAAAAAACACCAAAAAATAACACTTGTTAGTGCAGAAAGTACTTAGCCAAATAAATCCATTTTCTATGTTCTTGAAAAACGGGAAAATTGATCTGTGAATTTTGTTCTCAAATCAAGACTTATTGGGAAAGAAAAAGACTCATCAGACACAGAATTGTAGAGAGTGTATTTACATGGGGAAAACAATTAAAAATGTGTTTTTTACAAGAAGAAAAAACAACCCAACCTAAACTCCATTATCTGCTTAGGTTTTGATGTAATACTTTTTAATATATAAAATACCTTTTTCTAGGTATAAGATTTGGAGTCCTATTGTGGCGCTGTGGGTTAATGTGCTGGACTGCAAGGTCGGTTTGAAGCGAAAGATTGGCTATAAAAGCTCACCAGCTGCTCCGCGGAAACCCTGCGGGAACCCTGTACAAGGCCATTAGGAGTCGACCCGACTCAATGGCACTTAATTAACAACATATTAGAGGCTGGTGAGTTTGAACCTCCAACCTTGCAGTTCAAACCAATCTTGCCCCTGAGTGCTTGTCCTAGTCATCATACCAGGACTCCATATATATATATGTTGTTGTTAAGTACCATGGACTCGGTTTCGACTCATAGTGACCGTGCACAGGGTTTCCGAGGCTGCAGATCTTTACGGGAGCAGAAAGCCTCATCTTTCTCCCACGGAACAGCTGGTAGTTTTGAACTGCTGACCTTGAGGTTCACAGTCCGATTCGTAACCACTACGTTACCAGATTCATAGCTTCCAAGGAGCAGCTGCTGGTGGATTTGAACTGCTGACCTTGTAGTTTGCAATCCAGTGCTGATCCTACAGCACCACACCAGGATATACCAACAACATATATATTCTAAAACCTATTCATCATAGCAATGCATAAGCCTCCACTGACAATGGAGAGGTTGCTGTGCATGGTGTGTTGGCCATAATTACACTTGAGACCATCAGCCAGTTGCCTTCAATTGAATATCCTATAAGTATCAGAGTAGAACATTCTGCTAGGATTTTCATTGGCTGTGTTCTTTTAGGAGTAGGTGGTGATGGTTATGTGCCACCGAATGGATCTGACTCATATCCGAGGCTGTAAATCTTTATGGGAACAAAAAGCCTCATTTTTCTTCCACAGAGCAATTGTAGATTCAAACTGTGACCTATAGTTAGCAGGCCAGCTCGCAATCCACTGCGCTATCAGGGCTCCTTTCTAGAAGTAGAACATCAGATTTTTCTTCTGAGGTTGCTTCTGTGTAATTTGAACCATCAAACTTTAGTGTTGTTGAGTGCCCGGTCAGTTTGACTCACCACAACCCTATATAGGGTTTCCTAGGGCCGCTGGTAGGGTTGAAACACTGACCTTTTGGTTAGCAGTCCAGTGCTGCTGATGCAATCATACCACACCAGGACTCTTTTAAATCAGTAGGAGAGTGCTTAACTGATTGTACCACTCAGGGACATCTCATGGAAGGCAACAGCCCGTAATTCGTAGTAATTCGTAGCTGTCTTATCTACAAAATGAATAAAACTCTTAAAAGCGCCTTAAAAATAGATATACACCATCATTGGTTACTTCTGGACCTATTTTTATTTTAATACTTACCTTTTGTTGTTGTTAAGTACTGTCATAGTGACCGTGTATAGGGTTTCCCAGGAGCGGCTGGTGAGCTTGAACCAATGACCTTGCAGTTCAAACCGACCTCGCAGTCCAGCGAATTAACCGACAGCACCACAACTCCAATGGGTTTTCGTTTTAGTTTATCCCTACTTCCTAAATTACCTGCAATGAGCCTCCAAATCCTACCCTCCGCCCCCAATTTATTGTCTAACATGTCGATAAATGTTGGTCGAGTCGACTGCGGCTGAGTCGTTCTACAAAAATGTGAAGGCGAAAGATTCAGAGGGATTTGGGGTGTGAAAAATCAGAGACCCCCATTTTCGGAGACTGGAAAGACGCCAGTCATATAGAATGATCGGCCACCCGCCAGGCCACCGTGTTCTTCCGCTCCCAGAGGCCCCGGGCAGCGGAAGTCGTCACTCAGAGGAGGCCGTGCGTCGCGCCGCGAATCCCGCATTAGACTCGCCATGGCAATGGGTGGCGGCGGAGGCGTCCGGGAGCGGGAAGACTCGGTGGTGTTCCGGCGTGGCACAGGCCAGGTGAGGTCACGGCGGGCGCTGCCTTCCTCCTGACCCCGTGCTCTCCCGGGCTGCAGGGCGGTGTGGGGCTTAGCCGGTTATGCTCTGTGCGCGGCTGTGGTCCGCGTGCTTCTACATCCTTGCCTGCCTTCCCTTCTACGAACGCCCTCTGCTAGGGAAGCCCTTAAGGCTTTAACCCAAGACCCTACCCAACTTGACGGAACTTCGAATTGCTCTCCTATGTGTGACAGAGGAAAAGGAACTCTGGTGTCTTCAAACGCACCAACTGCTCATGGGGGAAAGATGAGGCAGGCCATCAGCCGCCGTGAAGATTTACAGTCTTAGAAACCCTGTACAGTGTCGCTATGAGTCGCTATCGACTCAGTGGTAGTGGTTGTTTGGTGGTGTGCGTCCTTTGGTATCTGACAGGGAGGAAAAGGGGACAGGACCTGGATTAGGGTGTTAGCACTGATGTTAGTGCAAAGTATTTGGATCCAGGATACATCTTAAAATCAAAAGCAACAGGTTTTACAGATGAGTTTGATGTGAGGTTTGAAAGCGAGGAAAAGTAAAAGATAACTTCAAGGATGTCGTAAACCGTTGAAAAGATGAGCTTGTCTCTTAGATTCACTTAGATGCGGAAGACAGCAAGTCGAGCAGTGGGAATGTCAGGTGTTCAATCTTGGGCATGGAATTATGGACGTGAAATCTGATTGGAGTGAGTTCGATAGCAGAGAGGAGAAATTCAAGACAGCATTTAAAATAAATGTATCTAGGAGTTTTATCGGCAATAGAAGGTAGAAAAATTGCCAGTAGGGTGAGATAGAAGAGACAGTTTGTAAGATGGGAGAAATGGTATATTTGTTTGACAGTAGGAAAAACCCAGTAAGGACAGAAAAATTGATGATAAAGGAGTAAGAAGGGAGAAATACTGGAGTGATATCCTAGAGCAAGTAAGAGGGCATGGATATAGCCTTTGTTACAGTGGTGGCAGTTGTATGAGTACCAGTGTGGGTGTTAAGGTGCCATCGAGTTGGTTTCGACTCATAGCAACCCTCTGTAGGGTTTCCAAGGAGTGGCTGGTGGGTTTGAATTGCTGACCTTGCGGTTCAGACCGACCTTACGGACCAGTGCCTTATCCAGCCACACCACACCAGGACTCCTCCACAGTGGGTTGCTGTTGTTGTTAAGTGCCGCCAAGTAGTTTCTGACCCATAGTGACCCTGTATAGAGTTTCCGAGAAGCAACTGGTGAGCTTGAATCACCTACCTTATAGTTCAAAGGCTTTGCAGTCTGGCTGTTTAACCCACAGCACCACACTAGGACTCCCCAATGTGGGTTGTTGTTAGGTGACATCGAGTTGGTACCGATCCATAGCTTGGTACCGATCCATAGCGACCTCATGCACAGCAGAACGAAACACTGCCATATCCTGGGCCAACCTCTCTACTATTGCCATGCTTGAGTCCATCGATGCTGCCTCTTGGCCAATCCATCTCATTGGGGGTCTTCCTCTTTTTCTCTGACCCTCCACCTTACCAAACGCAATATCTTTTTCAGCAACTGGTCCCTCCTGACAATATGTCCGAAGTATGAGAGATGAAGTTTGGCTATCTTGGCCTCCAAGGAGCACTCAGGCTGCACCTCTTCCTAAACAGATCTATTGGTTCTTTTGACAGCCCAAAACACTTTTCAATATTCTCCTCCAACACCATAAATCAAAAGCATCAATTCTTCTACGGTCTTCCTTATTCACTGTCCAGCTTCTCATACATATGAGGTTATTGAAAATACCATGACTTGGATCAGGCACACCTTAGTCCTCAAGCTGACATCTTTGCTCTTCAACACTTTAAAAAGGTCTGTGCAGCAGATTTTGCTTAATGCAATATGTCAATATGTCGTTTCTTGACTGCTGCTTCCATGAGTGTTGATCGTTGATCCAAAAAGAATGAAGTCCTTGACAACTTCAATCTGTTTCATTGATAAGAATGTTGTTTATTGGTCCAGTGGTGAGGATTTTTGTTTTCTTTACATTGAGATGTAATCCATACCGAAGGCTTTGCTCTTTGATCTTCATCAGTAAATATTTTAAGTCCTTTTCACTTTCAGCAAGCAAGGTTGTTTCATCTGCATATTGCAGGTTGTTAATGAGTCTACCTCCAGTTCTGATGCCACGTTTTTCTTCATATAAGCCAGCTTCTCGGATTATTTGCTCAGCATACAGTTTGAATAAGTATGGTGAAAGAATACAGCCTTGTTGCACACCTTTTTTAATTTTAAACCAGTGTTCCCATGTTCTTTTAGAACAACTGCCTCTTGGTCCATGTACAGATTCCTCATGAGCACAATTAAGTGTTCCGGAATACTCATACTTCGCAATGTTGTCCATAGCTTGTCATGATCCACACAATCGAAAGCCTTTGCGTAGTCAATAAAGCACAGGTGAACATCTTTCTGATATTCTCTACTTTCAGCCAAGATCCATCGGATATCAGCAATGAGATCCCTCGTACTACGGCCTCTTTTGAATCCTGCTTGAACCTCTGGAAGTTCTCTGTCAATGTATGATTGTAGCTGTTTCTGTATTACCTTTAGCAAAACTTTACTCACATGGGCTATCAAAGAGACTGTCCGATGATTTCTGCATTCCGTGGGTCACCTCTCTTTGGAATGGGCACAAAAACGAATCTCTTCCAATCCGTCGGCCAGATAGTTGTCTTCCAAATTTCTTGGCAGGGTAGATGACAGTATATGTATAAGATGATGAGAGATTGTCAAAAGTTCTCTTTTGGTTAGTGCTATTTTCTCAGTGAAAGAATCAAGGTCATCATTAGGGGCAAGGATGTGGGAGAAAATGTTGGCGGTTTGAGGAGAGAGAAATTAGGAAGTACTCTTAAAGAATGGCTGAGTTTGGAATAAGGAAATACATTTGTAAATTTAAAGAGAATTGTTGTTGTTAAGTACCGTCGAATGGATTCTGACCCATAAGTACTGTTGAATCAATTCTGACCCATAGCAACCCTGTATAGAGTTTCCAAGGAGCAGCTGGTCAGCTTGAACCATTGACCTGGCAGTTCAAAAGACTTTGCAGTCTGACACATTAGCCCACAGTGCCACACCAGGACTCCTAAAGAGAATTGAATTCATTTTATCATTGAGTCGCTAGACTTTTTAGATATGTTCTTATATCTCTGCAAATACGGTTAGTTTTACTTTTTCTTTTCACGTTTTTATATCTCTTGTTGTTTTTACCTAATTACATTGTCTTATTATTCCTCCAATTTAAAGTTTATTGTTATGGAGATAGTGAGCATCCTTTATATTTTTATCTTTTTCAGTTGCTATGTTGTAGATGTTTCTTTTGTATGCAATGTAGATTAGACTTGCTTTGTGAACCAATTTGAAAATAATTTCTTTAGATAGGCAAGTTAAGTCCTTTCACATTTTTTATATGACTAGATTCATATCTTTATTGTGATTCATAGAAACCTCAAATGTGTCAGAGTAGAATTGTGCTTCATAGTGTTTATATCTCTGTTTTGTTTTGTTTAACCAGAAGTATATTTCACTTCTAGTAGTTCCTATTACTCTGAAACCTTCTTTCTTTTTCACCTTTATTATTTGGGTTGTCAGATTTAAATAGTATCCTTTGACTTACAGCTGTTTTTGTAAATACTAATGAAGTTATTCTTTCCCTTTTTGTGATGCCTTCTCCCTTTTTTATCTTTTGTTTTCACTCTGCTGGAAGCTGTGACGGTCATATTCTTTGCTTTTCTCTTATAACTGCAATGAAGTATATTCAATACTAACAGTTAGTTTAATTGTTTAACCAGAGTTTTTCAGTCATATCTTGCCTGGATGAAGCATATCTCCAATAGATTCCTCTGGGAAGGCTAGTGTGTATAGTATTTATTCCTCTACATTTTAAACTTTGTGTATGGTCTTCCTACTTGAGAGACAGCTAGGCTGCATATAAATTCCTTGACTCATTTCCCCCCCATAAATATCTAATGAAAAATTAATGCTAACTTATTTTCCTATTTTTCGAATGACTTGCTTTTAATTTTTACTCTGTAGGGACCCCATTGTTACATTAGATATGTTTTGCCAATCATCTTTACCACTTTATTTTGTTTTTGTTTCTTTGGCTATTTTCATAGCGTCCTTTAGGTTTTCCATAAGATCTACTCTTCCTTGGATACTGTCTTATATCTAGTGGTACTATAGCAGACCTACTACAAGTGGATGCTTTTAACAAGCACAGATTTATTCTTTCACAGTGTAGGAGGCAAGACTGTCTAAATTCAGAGTGCCAACTCTGGGGCAGGCTCTGTCTGTTGACCCTGGTAAAGAGTCTTTGTCTCCTTTCAGCATCTGTAGGCCCAACATCCTTGGATATCTCCATGCATTGATCTTTATCTAGGTCTAGGAACTTCACAGTGTAGGGACCCAAGCATGTACTCTACTCCTGTTTCTTCCTTTTTAGTGGCAGTTCCTTCTGTCTCTGCTCACTTTTCTCTATGTTTTTCTCTTGTAAAATAAAGAAATTGCAGGACACACACACCACCACCCCTAACCTCCCCACATCCTTAGGAAACTTTAGTTGATTGGCTGCTCTTAACAGGTCCCATCATGGAATTGATTACCTAATATTAGATCTCATCATGGGGGGTTATTATAATTTAACTGCTAAACCACTGAGACTCCTGACCCAGTCAACTTGACAAAATACCTTAACTATCTTCTTCTGTTTTCTGTCTTTCTTTCTTTTTAAGGTTTTTATTGTGGATTGAGTGAAAGTTTACAGGGCAGATCATCAGTTTTACATTCAACAAATTATACACCTTGTTTCATTACAATGATTATAATCACCTCCATATACTATCAGTAAATAGTATTTCTCTCTATTCACTTTAGCTTTCTTTAAAAAAAAAACAAACAAAAAAACCCACTCAGGCATATATAATATTTTAAATCTCCAAAGGGCACATTCTGCAAGTCTGCCTCCGGACTACCAG